GCCAATGAGGTCAACCAATACCATCAACCACGCCTACCCGGCCAGAGGTGTGGGAAGGCCTAGCTCCCTCTTACCCTGCTCCTGGCCAGCGGCAGGTAGAGGGTGAGGGTGGCCCCCACTCCGGGCCTACTCAGGGTCCACATACTCTTAGCCTCTAGGGTTCTTGGGTTTCTGGGCTCCTGCTCCTCACCCACCAGTTCCACACCTGTGGGTGCTCTTTTCCACGTGGTTTTTCGTGGCCAGTTGTGAACCCCAGCGTGACTTCCACGCATTTGGCATGCTTTCCAGAAATAGCATGTGCCCTTTGGAGACTGTAAACCCTGGAATCTTTCCTCTCCTCCATTCAAAACTCACTTGGATAACAAAGTGTGCTTCCGCGTGAATTCTTTCAACGTGCAAAGCCAAGAACCTAGGTATGTATATCCCACTCCAGGAAGCTAACACATCTTGTAAATGAGCACTAACAATCTTCACTGCCATTGAATCAATCCTGGCTTAAAACGACCCCACACGGCCGGGTAGAGCGGTCCCTATGGGTTTCTGAGACTGGGCCTCTATGGGAGTAGAAAGCCTCATCTCTCTCCTGTGGAGCAGCTGGTGTTTTCGAACTATTGATCTTCAGTAAGCAGCCCAACGTGTAACTGTGAGAAACCTGGATGAAAGTGTAAGCGGCATAATTACAGGGCTTGCAAGACCAGCACTAGTGTTCAGATAAGAGGGAATACCTCCACAGTGGTGCTATAAAGCTGATAATACACTCTCTGCAGATGGAGAGAGGTTTTTCCACAACTGTCCTCCTCTAAGATGGTAATGTAGCGCTGTCTCCTACGGGCTACAGGCTCCTCCTCACTACTCAGCTAAGAAATGCCTGTCTTTAAGAGCAGGCGGGTTCCCTCTGTCCCTAACACGCCGAGAGTCCATTTGTCTCTTAGACTGGGGACTTACTTAGGAAATGTCTCCTAACGAACTCAGGCTAGCTCAGATTCACACTGTGTGAGATCTACTGTGTATGTGCTTGATGGACACTTGCCCACCATCCTCCTAAATAAACTCGCTGTCAAATAAACTCCCTCTTGTATTCCGACATCGGAGATGAGACTCTGTCCTTTTCTTGCTTTCTTCTTCTTTTTCAATCATTTTATTGGGGGCTCGTACAACTCTTATCACAATCCATCCATCCATCCATTGTGTCCAGCACATTTGTACATTTGTTGCCATCATCGTTCTCAAAACATTTGCTTTCTACTTGAGCCCTTGGTATCAGCTGCTCATTTTTTCCCCTCCCTCCCTGACCCTCCTTCCCTCACGAACCCTTGATAATTTATAAATTATTATTATATTTTCATGTCTGATGTCTCCCTTCTCCCACTTTCCTGTTGTCTGTCCACCAGGGAGGGGGTCATATGTAGATCATTGTGATTGGCTCCCCCTTTCTCCTCCCACCTTCCTTCCCGGTATCACTACTGTCATTATTGGTCCTGAGAGGTCTATCTGTCTTGGATTCCCTGTGTTTCCAGTTCTTATCTGTACCAGTGTACATGCTCTAGTCTAGCTGAATTTGTA